CACCCCCCACAACTGTCCCCAGTGTGTGATGCTCCTCTTCCTGAGTCCACGTGTTCTCATTTGACCCAACCTTTATAGTTTTAGTAGAGACAGGGTTTTGCCATGTTGCCCAGGCTGGTCTTGAACTCCTGGCCTCAGGTGATCCACCTGCCTTGGCCTCACAAAGTGCAGGGATTATAGGTATGAGCCACCACACCCAGCCACCTTTTTAAAAAATTTTCTTCTTTGTAGATAGGGTCTTGCTCTGTCACCCAGACTGGAGTGCAATGGTGTAATCACAACTCACTGCAGCCTCAACCTCCTAGACTCAAGTGATTCTCCCACCTCAGCCTCCAGAGTAGGTGGGACCACAGGAATGCGCCATCATGCCTGGCTAATTTTTGTAATTTTTTTTGTAGAGATGGGGTCTCTTTGTTGCCCAGGCTAATCTTGAACTCCCAGGCTCAAGCAATCCTCCTGCCTCAACCTCCCAAAGCGCTGGGATTACAGGCATGAGCCACCACACCCAGCCATCTGGGGAGCTTATCAGTAACCCTCTTAGAAAAAGAGAAGGATTACCTCAATGGTCTTACCTGAACAACATCAATGCAGGCATCCAAGTAGATGCAACCTTTCGATTCTTTTGAATTTTTCTCATCTTTATAGGAATTGAGAATATATGAACCATCAGGAAGTTGGGTCAAGTAAAAATATCGTCTCTTGAATACCTACATGGGAAAACCCGCAATGATTCATTTGTTACATACATATTGCATTTGAACAGTTTCTCCGAACTAAAAACCTCAAAGTCTTGCCAGGCATTGTACCTGGACAATCTTCAGACAACCCTGACAAAATGTTAGGAATTATCATTATAATTTTTTTTTTCGGATAATAATTAATATTTTTTCAGATAGAGAATGAAAGTCACATGGTTTACCCTCAGTTAATCAAATATCAGAGCAATAATTAAGATTTAACACTTTGAAATGTATAAAGCATTTGGATATCTGAATCTCCTGACCCTTTCACTATAGCATTATTTTCCCATTTAAGTACAAATGATTAGATCCTTTTAATCTGGTTTCTACTACCATGAATCCAAGTATAAATATAAAAATCATATATATGCCACATTATATATTTCCATCTCACCTGCACATCCTACAACACTCATCTACACTGTCTTTGCTTCTGAAAGTCCAGTTTACAGTGCACTCACAGGGAAGCACAGAGTCATTAGCTGCCTACCAGGTGTTGTTGAGTGCCCCAAGTGCTGGGCTTTAAATCAACAGGCTTAATGGAACCATGCCATTTGTTTGGAGTTAGGGATTCACAATAGTTAAGGAGTAGCCAGTTGCTACAACTCACAGCAAAGCCCACAGGAACGAGAAAAGGTGGAGGATTGCCTGAGGAGTTCATGCTGTCCTTCTATGCTCCCCTAAAAACAGACTTTGAGAGCCTGATAAAAGAGGCGAGAAAAGGTATTAGGAGCTCTCTGATGAATTGATGCTTTTTTCAATAAGTCACAAACTGCAGGCTATGTCAAGCAATTGTCATAGTGAAAGGCAGAGCTTATTCAAGTTGCAATTTCCCAGGATGATAGATCTGAAATTACTTCAGGGTGGGATGGGAAGAGCAGCTAGGAAATAGACTCCTGATGATTACTGAGGAAATGTATTCCTATGCATCTTGTCTTATTCAAAGAATCTGGCTTTAAAATTTAAGCTTGTCATTTTTAATTGCCCATCTGATTACCCAATGTGATCCCTGATCATTGTGAGAACTTTAATCATGGAAAGAGTATTATTTGGCAAGATCATTCTTGCCAACGACTTAACATCTGGCAAAGTACCTGAAACATCAATTTATTTCTCCATAGCATGACCAAGCAAAATATATAAAAGCCTTGGCTGGGCACAGTGGCTCACTCCTGTAATCCCAGCACTTTGGGAGGCCAAGGCAGACGGATCACCTGAGGTCAGGAGTTCAAGACCAGCCTGACCAACATGGAGAAACCCTGTCTCTATTAAAAATACAAAATTAGCCAGGCATGGTGGCATATGCCTGTAATCCCAGCTACTCAGGAGGCTGAGGCAGAAGAATCACTTGAACCCGGGAGGTGGAGGTTGCATTGAGCCGAGATTGCACCACTGCACTCCAGCCTGGGTGACA